TCAATCGTGATTGATTAAGTTGTATATAGGCACGTGTCCATTCGCGATCGTGAAGAATCGACTGGAGTGTATTTTGAATGGCAGTTGAGGGTACCATAAGAAAGTTAAGCTTTGAACCAATTGTACACGCTTCAACCGAGCCCGCATAGAGAACTCCGATACGTGTTCCACTTAATGCAAAATCTTTGCTAAACGACCAAAGAAAATGTGTACGTATTGGATCAGGAAGTGAAGCGTAATTCAGTACTGATTGAAAAGATTTTTCATTACTGAAAACACTTAATGCATAGATTTCATCGACGATAACGTGTAGCTGCTTTTCTGCAGCGAATTCGAGCACAGGTTGAATGGTGGCTTCGTCATAGACATCACCGAGCGGATTGTGTGGATTGACGAGAATAATTCCGCGAGGTCGGAGTTTACTAGCTATTGCGGTTTTGTAGCCTTGTTCAAAAATTTCTACAGAAAAACGAAATTCACCTTTGTCTTGTTTAAGTAATGGACATTTAACAAGTGAAATGTTAGCCATAGCGCCAACGTCGAAATCAAATGCAGTGTAGTAAGGCGATGGTATAAGAAAAACGTCACCGATGTCGGCAATAAGAAAAGAGAGTAAAGAAATGGTACCACTGGCACCACTTGAGACAATCATTCGATGAGGATCGAGTTCCCTCTGCATTGAACAGAGTATCTCGCCGAAAAATGTACAGAGTTGTTGTCGAAAAGCAAATTCGCCCGACGAATCCGGATAGTAGTTGAAATGACTTAACCATGTTTGTACCGATTTAAGTTTGTCGAGAAGTTCGTTTTGGCAAAGATGGTTTTCAGCTACGCCAAAGTTAATAATCCCTTTCAGATTGCATTCTTCGTCATACGAATTCAGCTGAACGAGCTTTTTGTAGCTGAGAAGAGGTGAAGAATCCTCAAACATGTGTTGAGCTCGAGCAGAAAGTTTCTCCAGTTGATTGCACCCTAGATGTAGAGAAAAAAAAATTTTTATTGAGATTTTCGATTTTCACAAAACGGCTTGCTTGATGATAATGATTGTCGTGGAAGGCTGCGTGCCGTTGTATCTACGTAGGAACTAGTCGTCGACTTTTCCTTTGATACTACGAAACCCATATTGTATTGTGTCGTTGACTTGAGTGAACAAATGAATATTCGTACACTACGTCTTCTGCACACTTATATAAGAACTCAGAACAGTTTGATTTTAAATTTTTGTTCCCCGACATGCTTGTTTATTTTGTCATGCCGAACAAGAGGTTGAGCACCACTAATATTATTACAACAAAATTGCAAAAAGGAAGAAAAAAAATGCTATTTAAAGAACCCCCTCATGCACACGCACAATAAAGAATGTTGTAACATTTACTGTTTCAGAGAAAGAAGAAAGACGGTGAATGATTTCTACAGTCAGTACACACATCGTCGCAATTCGATAAGGGTGAGAATGTGGATGTGA